CCAGAACAAGAAATGCCATTTCTGTGGGGTTTGTGTGGGCCCAGAGCTGCAAATTTCATTTCTGTGGGGTTTTGAGTGGGACCAGAGTAGAAAATGTCACTTGTGGGGGATTTGTGTGGGGTTTCTGTGGGGTTATGATGGGGTTAATGTGGGGTTTGAGTGGGGTTTCTGTGGGGTTTGTGTGGGCCCAGAGCAGCAAATGCCATTTCTGTGGGGTTTTGAGTGAGACCAGAGTAGAAAATGTCACTTGTGGGGGATTTGTGTGGGGTTTCTGTGGGGTTTACGTGTCACCAGAGCAGCAAATGTTATTTGTATGGGATTTATGTGGGACTAGAACAGGATATGCCATTTGTGTGGGGTTTCTGTGGGGTTTCTGTGACCCCAGAGCTGCAAATTTCATTTGTGTGGGGTTAGTATGGGACCAGAGTAGGAAATGCCACATGTGTGGGGTTTCTGTGGGGTTTCTGTGACCCCAGAGCTGCCAAGGCCAGTTCTGTGGGGTGCAGTGCCATGGGGGGCTGCAGAAACAGCTCCTCTCCCTCCTTTTGTAGTTCCAGCTCCAATTCCAACATCCCAGGATGGAGGAGATCAAGAACAGGCCTTTAGGATAATGGGAATAACACCAGAACTCAAAGGAGTCCTGGAAAACTCACCTGGGGAGCCCCCAGGAAGTGCCTGAATTCCCAAAATATCGAATCCAGCTGGAACTCAGCCCCTCCAGGGATGCAGGAATGCAGCAAATTGGGGTAAAACTGCGCAGAAATTCCAGGAATGGGAGGCCTGACCCTGGCAGGGCTGATACTCCTTTTGCCACAGGAATTAATTTCAGGCTGCAGGAATTTTGGGCTGCAGGAATTTTGGGATACAGGAATTTTGGGCTGCAGGAATTTTGGGATACAGGAATTTTGGGAGCCTGGGCCCTCCTGGAGCCCTCAGCTCCTGGCCTGAGCACTTCCCACCGCTGCTCCTGGTGGGATTTTATCCCTTGGGAAGATTTTCCAGATTGTAGGGTAATATCTAGATCAAGAGGAACACAAGGAAGCTGCAATTAGCCCCGTATCCATCATTATCCCAGCTTTATTTTGGGATTTGGGTGCATTTTAAGGCCGGAACCCTTCCCTGAGCAGCCAGTTCTGAACAGAACTGAGCATTCCAAGGGTGATTTCCCAGCTCCCTGCCCATACCAGGTTCCTGTTGCTCCTGTGGTTGTTTCTGTCTGTGTTCATCCATTTTTTTCCCCCAATCCGTTTGGATTTTGCCACTGGAAAAGCTGCTCAGGGCATTGAGCTGCCTGCAGGAGCCCACCCCCAGCTCAAAACTGCATTTTAGCATAAAACCCCATAAAAATCTTCATTATGCACCAACTTTCCTGGCTGAAAACCCCTAAGATGAACTCGGCAGTGGGGGGCAAAGGTGGAGGGGTGGGGGAGAGGATGCGAATATCCCAAAAAGTTGCGAAGTGAAGCATTCCAGAGTGGGAATAAGAGCTGGAGGTTGAATGTGCAATCACAACCTCCCTTTGTCTGCGGGCTGTTGATCGGCGGAGCTGCAATCTCGTGGCAATAAATAGATATTTAAGATAAGCTCCGGCGTGTAATTAAAGACTTCTGCCACACGGCCAGATGCGCTGCCTTTATCTTTGTGTAAATGAGAGCGGAGCGGGGCTCTGCTGCGCTGAGAGCCCAAAAAAAGGGGGAAAAAAGGTTCTTTGTCCCAGTTTGCATCCGTTTGCTGCAGGGTGGGAGAGAGGGAGGGATGGGACCGTTCCCAACGCAGGGAAAGTGGGAGTTTCAGTGTTCTGAGGGCTAAAGGGAAGTAAAAGGTGTTACCTTGATTCAGGAGCGTTTCCCTGATTTCCCAGTGCTTTGGGATGGAAATTCAGGGAGGGAGGGACGGGACCATCCCTTCCCAGGGAAACTGGGAATTGTGGTGGTACAAGGGCTAAAGGGAATTGAACGGGTTGGTAAAAGGTGTTACCTCAGTTTCCCTGATTTCCCAGTGCTTTGGGATGGGAATTCAAGAAGGGAGGGATGGAAGTTCAAGGAGAGAGGGATGGGACCATCCCCAACCCAGGGAAACAGAATTTCAGTGGTCCGAGGGCTAAAGGGAATTAAATGGGTTGGTAAATGGTGTTACCTTCATCCAGGAGTGTTTCCCTCATTTCCCAGTGTTTGGGGATAGAAATTCAGGGAGAGAGGGATGGAAGTATCCCTTCCCAGGGAAACTGGGAATTGTGGTGCTTTAAGGGCTAAAGGGAATGAAATGTCTTGGTAAAAGGTGAATCCTCAGCCAGGAGCCCTCAGTTTCCCTGATTTTGCAGTGTTTTGGGGTGGGAATTCAGGGAAGGAGGGATGGAATTTTAGGGAGGGATGGGACAATTCAATCCACAGGGAAGCTGGAAATTTCAGTGCTCTGAAACGGAGTGAAATGTGGTGTTGCCACTGTTGATAAAAGGTGAAGCTACAGCCAGGAGGTGTCCTTGATTTCCCAGTGTTTTGGGATGGAATTTTAGGGAGGGAGGGAGGGATGGCACTGTCCCTTCCCGGGGAAACTGGGAATTGTGGTGCTTTAAGGGCTAAAGGGAATGAAATGTCTTCATAAAAGGTGAATCCTCAGCCAGGAGCCCTCAGTTTCCCTGACTTTGCAGTGTTTTGGGATGGAAATTAAGGAAAGGAGGGATGGGACCATTCCCTCCCCAGGGAAACTGGAAATTGTGGTGCTTTATGGGATAAAGGGAATGAAACGTGGCGTTGCTGCTATTGAACAAAGGTGCACCCACAGCCAGGGGGTTTCCCTGATTTCCCAGGGTTTCAGGATGGAATTCAGGCTCCCCAGGCCAGGGACTCTGCCCCTACTTTGGGACTCCAGGCCCAGCTTTGTCCTCATCCCACAGGAGGGGTGGGATCCAAGCTTTGGGCTGAGCCCCAGCAGCTCCCTGGGAGGGAATTTTGGGATCACTGAGGTTGGAAAAGCCCCCCAGGAGCATCAATGCCCACCTTGCCACCAGCCCAGAGCAACACCCAGGTGTTCCTTGGACACCTGCAGGGGTGGGGACTCCAAACATCCCTCCCAGTGTCACATCTGACATTCCAGTGTCACAAATCCCCAGGGCTGCAGCAGGAACCAGGGCACAGAAATCCTGGGAAAATGATCCCTGGGGTCTTGGGGGATGTTTGGGACTGCCAGGAAGGCCTCAAAAAAAATCAAAATTCTCTTGGATCTGTGAACTCTGCAGTGCAGCAGGGTGGGAAGCTGGAAGCAGCAGGGGGTATGTGCATGGTCCTGGCAAAAATTCCACCTGAGCAGGGGAATTCCATCCTGGAAGGGCCTTCCCAGCCCTCTTCTGTTCCAGGAGCCCCTGGAACGGGGAAGTTTTGTTCCAAGCAGTGCCTGTGTCATTAGTGGGGTCTGGTTGGAGCTTTTCCAGCACCACCTTGGATTCCCGATCCCCACTTGGGGCTGGAATCCTTAAAAAATGGACGAGAAGTGATGCTGTGTTTTGGGGGTAAAAAACTGGGAAGGAGGAAAGGAAAGCAGAATTTCTTTTGGGATTTGTACCCCTGGGAATTCCTGCTGGACTCTGGGATGGAATTTATTTGGAATTTCTTGGGTTTATGTGCTGGAATTTCACCTTTTTTTTTCTTAACAAGGTGGAATTGCTGGATTAAGTTTTTGAGTAATTTTTCATGTGATTCCTTTCTGTTTTCAATGAGCTCTTGGTGTTTTTCCTCTCTTCTGCCACTCCTCTCCCACTTAGGCCAACCCAAATCCTCTCTAAACTCAGTATTTGTACCTTGATCCTGACTAAGTCTGACTTTAAGTCAAATATTTGATTCCTGGATGTTTTTCCCCATTCCAAACCCCATGAAATGGCAGAGCCAAGCTCCCACCCAACAACCCCACTCTGCTTTTTGGGAAATGGGTTTTTCCCAGGCTAAACCCTTGTAAAACCCTTAAAGCTGCATAAGCAGCTTAAACCCAGCTAAAGCCTGAGATCATTTTAAACAGCTTGTGCCAATAGAAAGACTTAGATTATCTTAAATACCTTAAACAGATCTGCAGCTTTAGGGGAGAATTTGGCCAGATTTGGTTGATTATTTGATTTGGGTGATTTTGGTGTCACCACTGGGTGACTCTGCCCAGCCACTCCTGGCTGGGAGACAGAAAATCAGAGAATTTTGGGATTTCTTTTTACATTTTGGATGTTTGTTTGACCATTTGTCTGTAAACACAGCAGGAAAATCTGAATTTGTGACCTTAACCCTGCCCTCGTGTTCAGCTCAGGATCATCTGTCATTTCTGGACCTTTGGGTTTTTTGGGATAAATCCCCAGCTGATTTGCAGGAAAAGTTGGATTTTTTTCCACCAGGTGAGGATTTTCAGCACCTGGGCTGCCCTGTGCAGTCTGGATTCTCCTAAATCACTTTTAGAGCTTTGAAAATCCCACCTTCAATGTTGTGCCTTAAAACTCGTTAAAAATGGGAATAAATGGGGGAAGGACTCCAGACTCTGAGGGGATTTCTGCCCGCTCCTCACTCCACATCCTCCCCTGTCCCTGGGGATCTGGTCCTCCCATTTTTTTGCAGATGGAAAACCAGGATTAATTTGGGCTCAGAGATTTGAAGAGTTTGGTTTATTCCTGAATTAAATCAGAAGGAGTTTCACTCCCCTGGAGAGCCGAGTTGTTCCCACAGAGGCAATTTCTGGGAGCTGATGGAGCAGCAGCCCCTGGAATATTTTCTCCAGGAGATAAAATCCCCCAAAGCTGAAAGGCAAAACCATCAGGGAAAATTTCCACTTGGAATTCCTCAGCTGGAAAAAGGAGCTCAGGCACTTCCCTGCTGCTGGAATGTGGGATGGGATTTATCTCCAGAGGAATTCCTGCTCAAATCTGGGACCCCTGGGAATTCTTGCTGGAATCTGGGATGGGATTTATCTCCTGGGAATTCCCACTCTGCTTTACCCAGACTGCAGCTCCTGGGACACAGAACCAGCCTGGGCTGGGATTTTCCTCCAGTCCCACTCCTGGTTTTGGTGCTGTGGGATTTGTGTTTCTTGGGAGCACCCTGGGAAAGGGAATTGATGCTGGAGCAGGAGGGGCTTGAGGTGGTGCTTAAAACCCAGAATAAAGGTGAAGATCTCTGCTCTATTCCTGCGTTGGGACTGACCCAGGTGAATGGGAGGCGAAAGTCATGGAAATACAAAGAGGTTTGGGATTGAAGAGACTTTAAAGCTCATCCCACCCCACCCCCGCCCTGGCAGGGACCCCTCCCACTGTCCCAGTGCTCCCAGCCCCAGTGTCCAGCCTGGCTCTGGGCACTGCCAGGGATCCAGGGGCAGCCACAGCTGCTCTGGCAATTCCAGCCCAGCCCCTCCCCACCCTGCCAGGGAACAATTCCCAATTCCCAGTCTCCCATCCAGCCCTGCCCTCTCCCCCTTTCCTGCTGCCCTCAATGCTGGGGGTGGATGGACACCATGGATGGCTGGGGAAATCTGGGAAGGGCTGACCTGGAGCAGAGCTGCGATCTCCATCCATTGGCAGCAGCTCCTTCCCATCTCTCCTGTGTACCCGTGGAACAGACACGGATCTCTGATGGCTGAAGGAAACAGAACTTTAGGATTTTAACTGTTTGAACTTGCAAGGGGGGTTGGGAAACGGAGGGGAAATTTCCAGTTTCATTTTCAGATTCCCAGGCTGGATCACTCACTCGGGCTATTCACAGTGCAGCCCTTAATAAGTTCTGGGCTCCTGCATCTTAATCCCCTGATAAATGAATTTCTTATTCATAACACCAGAGGTGAGCGCTCCTTTGGAGGGAATTGCTTTCCTTCCGCCTGCCAAGCTCTGAACTCTCTCAGATCAGGCTGCTCTTCGTCTCCTTCCTGGATGGTTTCCTGCTCCCATCCCGCAGTTTGCACCTCTCTGGGGCCGGAGGGCAGAGCTGAGCGTGGTGATGCCAGTGAGCCCCTTCCAGCCGGGAACATCCCGGGATCTGCTCCCTGGGAGGGGCTGCCCATGCTGGGTGGGCTGCTCCAGCCCCAGCCAGGAGCTGCAGGTTGTGGGGAAGGAGCTCTGCAGCTCCCTAAAATTGATCAGGGTTTAGGGTGGGCTGGGAGGGGTTGGAAAACAGGCGGGGCTCTGGCAGCCAAGGGTTTGTTGTGGATTTGGGAGGGGATTAACGAGGGATTGGTCTCAGCTTGGACTAAAACTCCAGAGCCTCCCTCCCCTGGGAGCTCAGCAGCTCCAGGGCTCCTTCAGACTCCCTGGAAAGCTGGGAAGGGTCTTTGGGATGTGGGGCTGCCCACACACGGGGACACCTCAGAGCAGGGAATTGGGAAGGCAGAACATTCCCAGGATCTCTGATGCCTTGGGAAGGCTGACCTAGGACAGAGAGTGGATGGAGTCAAAGAATAAAGCAGGGATTTATTCAAAGGATCTCCTCCATGGATCCACCTTTGTCGCCCTCATTCTTAGGATTTTCTAAAGCTTTCTGAGTTTACATTCTGTTAGAGAAGTTTCTGACACAACTTTCTGTAAACAACCTATTGTTTTACATTCCTTCATAGAGGTGGAGAAACTTAATATACTGGTAGTTTGTCCAATGTCATTGGAGAGGTGGAGCATTCACTCTCCAATCCACTGTCACCTTTGGAAAAGTATAAATGCTGGAATCAGAAAAAAACCGGCCCTTTTTACCTTACAAATAACAGGAGCTCGCGTTATCCTTTCACGTGTCCTATAACGACACACCTTGGGCAGCACCAGAGCCCAGCCAGGGCTGCACCCAAGATGAACCTGAAACATAATCTTTGAGGAATTTAGAGATTTTAGAGGAGATAAGATTTTAGCTAGAAGTAAGCCTTACTAGAGTTAATTAAAATAATAATAATAAATGAGTAGGCCTTGATGAAGTTAGGAGTTAGTAGTCAACTAATAATTGATTGCCTGTCAGCACAATGTTTAGTTAGCTGGGTTTATAATGAAGAATATAAATTGACAAATAGCTTTTAGGAACATAAGACAATTGTGGGCCTCCTCTGTTCTGAAACCAGCTGAAGACAAGGAATGGGAATTATACCAAGAGTTCATTTGTCACATTTGCGTTGAAAAGGTAGAAAGGTCAGAACGAGGAAGACTTCATTGACTTCCTCATTTTGGGACCCCTCCCCATGGAAGGGACACCGACCCATTTCAAGGGACAAACTACGCATGCTTAATAGCTTTTGGAGTAATTAGCATATGAAGCGGGGAATGGGATGTACCAAAATTATGAATATTTGTATTCTGTATTTTGTGTATTCAATACTTGTATTGATAAAAGGACTCTGTAATCACCTGGAAGGTGCGGTGTGTATTTGGGAGCTATCCCACACGCTGCCCGGCGTCGAATAAACATAAAACACACACTTTCTAACTTTAAATGGTTAGAGAGTTTTTGTCCGTCACAGTTGGATATCGGTACTAGATCAATGTCCATATTTTTTAATAAATCAAACCAAAATGGCACAAAATGAACCCAAGATGAACCAAAATGGTCCCAAAAAATGGATGACTGGTAACAAGGTCTCTCCCTGGGATCAGTTCTGCTCCATTGGCACCTTGGAGTTCATTGTCCCATTCCAGCTTTAGCCCAGGCAGTCCCACCCTGCTTGTTTTTCTCTCTCCAGCCCACGGTGTTTGTGCTCCTGGGCTGAGATTTGGATCATTTGTCCTTGGTGCCCAGCTGGAGCAGGAATTGTTTTGTGTCTGGGCTCTGTGCAGAGAGCTCAGCATCCCATAATGTGGAGCTCAGACCTACACACTAAAGCAGAATGTGAAAAATAGAAAATCTAAACCTGAGGCATCACCCCCAAACTCATTTACCTCCATGTCCAAACCTGTGGAGCTGCCTGGGCAGTGCCAGGGAGCTGCTGGAGGAGCTGGGACCGCCAGTCCCAGGAGGATCCGCCCCTCCTCCCTCCCTCCTCCTCCTGCTCTGCTCCAAAGTTTTCATGGAAAAGCACTGATGCTGCAGCACAGCTCCCAGGAAAGTTCCTCTCATAAAACAAAACTGGAACATGGAGCCAGATTGTGTAAAAAAGAAAAAAAATAACAATGAAATCAAACCAGGAAAGGGTCACAAGGAAACACAAAGCAGGATTGTGAGGAAGGATGGAGCAGGAAAAGGGGAACAGCAATCAAATCCCATGGGCTTGCTCAGAACGTTTCCTAGAGAACAGTAAAAGTAAAAAATAATCAGATTCCCTGAAAACCTCAAATTCTGAGTAAAAGGTTTTTCGTCCATACTCACAAATACGCTTTTAATGTGGATTTCTATTAAAAATGCTCCTTTAAAAACTTTTAAACTGTGGATTTTTATTAAAAATGTTCCTTTAAAAACTTTTATTTTCTGGGCGTCTTTCTCATAAACTCCCACTGCTTTTCCATCCCTGCTGGGACACCCTCCCATGTCCTGAAACACCAAATATTGCTGCTTATTCCTGAAAATTCTGCAGGATTCCTGGTACCCCACCGAGCTCCCGGCCTTTCATTCTGGGACAGCATTTGCTAGTGGAAAATAGCACTCAAAAAAATTAAATAGTGAAAAAAAAGTCTTTTCTTTAAATTATTTGACATCTCCAAGCATTTCTCTGCATCATATCCAAATTTTTCTCATTTTTCTCATGAGGTGATGACCTGCCAGAGCAGATTTATGTCTATATATATTTATTTATTTATACAAAGAATAAAAAAGACATTTTTTTATCCACAAAGTAGAAGTCAGGAAGAAAGGAAAGCACAAAAATTTAGAATTTCTTGCTGGAACATCCAAAAAGTTCTGTGTTTTTAGAAATATTGCTTATTAAGAGGGAGTTACCCATGGGGTGGTGAAGAAGTGGTTGTGGCTGAAAGGTGTGCTGGGACTAGGTGGGGACTTATTTTAAATTATTTATATTTATATTTATATTTATATTTATATTTATATTTATATTTATATTTATATTTATATTTATATTTATATTTATATTTATATTTATATTTATATTTATATTTATATACTAGATTTATATTTATAACTATATTTAAAGCTATATTTTTATATTTATATATAAATATTTATAATTATATTTATAGCTATATCTATAGCTATATTATTTATTAATTGTATTTATTATTTTAATATTTATTTTAAAAATGTAATTTCTTGCTCCACTCTCCAAATTGCATCCGGGCGAGGCCTCCCCGAAACTCTTCCCTGAAGGTTTGTTTTTTTTTTAAATTCTCCTCTTGAAAAAAAAAATCATATTTTGATATTTCGGTGCCCCGAGCTGCGATTTGCAAGCCAAAAGCGGCTGCTGAGCGCGGAGCCTTTGGGGTTTGTGCGGCCGGGACCGCGCCTGCCCCGCCGGGGCTTCCTGCGAATCCCGCAGCGCATCCCTCCCCAAAAAACCCCGGCGGCTCCGCTCTCCTGCGGGAATGCGGCTGCAAAACCGACCCGCGGGATAAAAACACGGGATAAAAACACGGGATAAAAGTATGGGATAAAAACACGGGATAAAAATAAAGGATAGAAACACGGGATAAAAATACAAGACAAAAATAGGGGATAACAATATGGGATAAGAGCAGAGGTGCCCAGTGGTGCTGAGGAGGGGCTGTGCCAGGGGGTTCGGGCTGAGCTGTTTGGGGGTTTGGTTTTCGTCCCCTCCCCGGCTGGAGGCCCTGCTCTGTCCCAGGTGTGGCAGTCCCAGGTGTGTCACTGTCCCAGATGTGTCCCAAGGGTGTACCACGTGCAGCAGTCCCAGATGTGGCTCTGTCCCAGGGGTGTCCCAGGTGTGGCACTGTCCCAGGTGTGTCCCAGGTGTGGCAGTCCCGGGTGTGACACTGTCCCAGGTGTGGCAGTCCCAGGTGTGTCACTGTCCCAGGTGTGTCCCAGGTGTGTCCCAGGTGTGGCAGTCCCAGATGTGGCTCTGTCCCAGGGGTGTCCCAGGTGTGGCAGTCCCAGGTGTGGCACTGTCACAGGTGTGGCTGTCACAGGTGTGGCTGTGGTGTGTCCCAGGTGTGTCCCACGTGTGGCCCTGTCCCAGGTGTGGCTGTCCCAGGCTCTCCTGTCACACCAGGTGCTCTCCTTTCTCTGAGCACTCCCGGGATTCCCCTCTGGCCCTGCTGGGCTCAGGTGCCATTTCCCTGGAATTGCTGTAGGATCACTGGGACTCGCAGTCCGAATTCCCATTTCCCTTCTGGGATGATCCATCACACCCTGGCTGGGTGCACAAATCCTGCTCTTTTATTTTGGGATAACCCCTGAGGAGCTAGAGCTGAGCTGGCACTGAGGGAGAAAAGCTGGAGCAGTTTGCAATCCGTGTTTTCCCGGGAAGTGGGAGGCTCATCCCCGGCTGAAGGCACGAGGCTCTTGTTTTGGGGCTGAGCATTTACCCCTCCACATGTGGAACCAGCTCCTTTCTGCCTGTTCCTGCCTGGATGTCCTTCCCTTGCCTGGATATCCTTGTCCATAGCCTGTCTGGATGTCCTTATCCTCTCTGGATATCCCTATCCTGGCTGGATATCCTTATCCTATCTGGATATCTTTGTCCACACCCTGGCTGGATAGCATTATTCTATCTGGATACCCTTATTCTATCTGGATATCCTTATCCTATCCGGATATCCTTATCCATAGCCTGCC